GTTCATGTCTTCTGCCCATTTCTTGACTGGATTATTTGTTGTTTGGTGTTGAGTTTGATAAATTCTTTATAGATTTTAGCCCTTTATCTGATATGTCATTTACAAATATCTTCTCCCATTCTGTCGGTTGTCTTTTGGTTTTGTTGACTGTTTTCTTTGCTGTGCAAAAGCTTTTTATCTTGATGAAGTCCCAATAGTTCATTTTTGCCCTTGCTTCCCTTGCCTTCGGCGATGTTTCTAGGAAGAAGTTGCTGCGGCTGAGGTCAAAGAGGTTGCTGCCTGTGTTCTCCTCAAGGATTTTGATGGATTCCTGTCTCACATTTAGGTCTTTCATCAATTTTGAGTCTATCTTTGTGTGTGGTGTTCAGAAATGGTCCAGCATAAAACATCTTCTAGATAAAAATTCATCAACAGGGGTGCCTGGGTGGCTCAGTTGGTTGAGCGACTGCCTTCGGCTCAGGTCATGATCCTGGAGTCCCGGGATCGAGTCCCACATCGGGCTCCCCCTGCTCGGTGGGGAGTCTGCTTCTCCCTCTGACCCTCCTCCCTCTCATGCTCTCTGTCTCATTCTCTCTGTCTCAAATAAATAAATAAAATCTTTAAAAAAAAAAATTCATCAACATTAGTATACTTCTCATTAAAATGCTTATATTTCACAGAAAGAAGTCAAAACTTCCTCCATGTGGTAAAGCAGATGCATATTAAGGCCACACAGAGAGGCCAGATGTACTGTCCCTAGTAACTGCCTCAGTTTATTCTGTCCCCTCTTGCCATTAAAGACTGTTACTCCTGCGAATCCTCCCTGGCATTTACCAAGCCCCTGCCCCGCACCTCACTCAAACACAGCCCCTCCCTCGGTGAGGGAGAGGACCACACAGGCAGAAATGAGCACAGTGAGACCAGTACTGTAATGGGTGGAGGCAGGGAGCCGTTATAAATATTTGATTGTGTATGTATTTAAGTTCAGAACACATGTTCTGTTAGGGACAATGCTGACTGAAGCCATTCTGGGCCAGTATTCACCAAGAACCCTGCGGGGAGTGACCGACCCCGCTGCAGCCCAGGGGAGTGGGGCCTTCTGTAGGACTGGTGGGGAGGGGGCCCCTCAGGGATTTCTGGGCACAAGCCACCCAGGGCAAGAACATGTGTTTTGGCTGAGGTTGAAGTTCATTTGCTTGCCCTTTATTTGTAATATGCAGGAAGTGGATTTTGCAGGGGACTAAGCTAGAGGAAGCCTGGAGACATTCCTCATTTCTAAAGAGAAAACACACTCAGATACTCCCTGACACAGATCTGGGCAAGATGTGAAGGCTCCTCCCCATCTGCTCCCCGGGTGGGGGAGTGGAGCCCCCACCATGCCCCTGAGGAGAGCTACGGCACTGGTGTTGTAAGGAATGGCTGATCATAAACTTGGGAGTTGGGGGAGGTAAGGAAAAAGGGAGGTGTCCAAAAGGACTTTCATACGCTAAAGAAGACTCTCAGGATACTGGAGGCCTGGCAATTGTCAAGCTAAGATTGTTTTTCCTTCTAGCAAAGCATTAACATGAAGACAATTGGGAGCTTCCTGGAGGAATGTTATGCTCTATTACAAGTCCTCCTCAATGGGCTGAAGGTCATAAAGAAACTTAACTTTGTTTACATTTCTTCTGCCTCTGTTTCCCACATCACTCATGGAAGGGAAGGTGATGTTAGGGCTCCAGGAAATTGAGCTATGGGTCTCTGAATGTTAGGCTATTGATAAGAATGCTTTTTCCTTGTAAATCACTAAGTCATTGGAACACTCACATCCTGCAGGACCATGATCTCTATCAGTTAACCATTTGTTTTTCCCTCCCTCCCCTTAGTCTTAGGGCAGCCAGGAATGCCTGAGGAATGCCGCGCATGTCCCACTGGATGGGGGGTGAGGTGGGGGGTGTCAGCTTGGCTTTGTCCTCAGCTTGCCTTCTGCTTCCTCAGCACCCATCTCCTCCCTGTCACCATGTACCTGCCTGTCTCTCCTGTCACCATGTACCTGCCTTGGAGCAGCCCTGAAGTTGGAACCATGGAAGGGGAGGCTCACCAAGCAAGCAGAGGGTCTTTGAAGGCAGGAAGAAGGGAGGCAGGGGAAGGGAAGCCCCGGGTCCCCTCTCTGCAGCCCCACAGCCAGGCCTCTGACAAGGCCGCTCTCTCTGCTCGCTTTTCAGTGAGCCACGGCTTCTCCCACGCTGGGCCCTCAACTCTGCCACCACCAACTAGCCCTGAGTCAGCCTTGACCCAGGATCTGATGGGTCAGCTGCTTAGAATCAGTGCCCATTCTGGGTCCCACTCCCACGGGTGGGAGCGGCAGCTCCATGAGCCATAGCAGCGCCTTCCTGGTACCCTCCAGGATGCTCTGGGCAGGGGAGGGCTCTGAATGGCCATGCCTGGGCCATCCCTTTGCCTCAACTAAGCCTGAAAAATATTGACCAAAAAGCTTGAAATTATCCCATTCTAATATCTATATTTATCTTTAAAATTTATAAATTTTAGGGTAAGATTAAGAAAATGAGAACAAGGGGTGCCTGGGTGGCTCAGTCAGTTAAGCATCTGACTCTTGATTTCGGCTCAGGTCATGATCTCAGGGTTGTGGGATCGAGCCCCATGTTGGGTTCCACGCTGGGTGTGTGGCCTGCTTAAAATTCTCTCTCTCTCCTTCCTGCTGCCCTTCTCTCCCTCAGAAAGAAAGAGAGAGAGACAGAAAGAGGGAGAGAAAGAAAGAAATAGAAAGAAAAAAAGAAAGAAAAGAAAGAAAGAGAAAGAAAGAAAAGAAAGAAAGAAAGAAAGAAAGAAAGAAAGAAAGAAAGAAAGAAAGAAAGAAAGAAAGAAAAAATGAGAACACGTAGTTAGTTAGGTATTTAATTCACTCATCTTCAACTATCACCTGTCAGTACCTAATCTAATTCAGGTTTCCCCCTGGCATTCTGAAAATTCACCTACAATCAGAAGTTCTTCTGGGTCACACAGATGGCTTTCTCTTGGACATCGAAGAAGCTTGGCTTTAAATGCCCTTATAGGCTAGATATCTCCATCCACAGAACTTTTTTTCTTCCAACCTTGAGCTTCCTCTCTCTGTGGCAAAATAAATAGTAAAATAGTATAGTCATATCTGACATCTGCACACTTACTCTACAAATAAATGCGTTTTTCCCAAACCTTTGCTGGCACTGGATTCTAATAAAGATTTCTAGAAATGAGACCCCTCATCAATGGCTCTGCTTAATAAGTTGCTGAATGCCATGCTGGTAAGAGATTCAGCGACTCTGCAGGTCACTTTCCAACTGCCTCCTTTGTAAAGGGACGTGTGTGCATGCGCGCTTGCTTTTATCATTATTATTACTGTCATTCATGTTATGTTTTCCATATAGCACGGTAGGGGACAAAAAATCTCTTCCTCTACCCATCTCAGGTTCTCTGCCTGGTGTCCTGTGAATTAGACTCACAAAAGACAGAGAAACACCAACAGAAGTGCATTAACAGATTTATGGTCAGGGAACACAGGGGCACTTGGTCAGGAGTAACTCACGGGGCACTTAGCATTTAGGATTACATAGCACCTTAGCAAAGGAGCAATACATTTTTTTAAAGATTTTTTATTATTCATTTGAGAGAGAGAGCAAGAGCACAAGCATGGCAGGGGAGGGGCAGAGGGAGAGGGAGAAGCAGACTCCAGGCTGAGCAGGGAGCCCGACGTGGGGCTCGATAACAGGATAACAGGACCCTGGGATCATGACCTGAGCTGAAGGCAGACGCTTAACCGACTGAGCCCCCACACCCCCCCACCTCCGGGCGCCCCAAGCAATACATTTCTAGAGAAGTGACAAGACAAAGGAAAAGGACCTTGAATTTCTAGGGTGGCAAATTGTAGGAAGACAGACACATGGGGGGAAGGATTGGGAGGGAAGGGCTAATTAGTAAAGTTTGTTACAAGAATTCCTCTGGTGCTTCTCTGGGCTGATGCGGGTCAGGTGTTGTCTCCGCTGATTAACTTCTATCCTTCCTGGCCGACAGGGGAGGAGGGACACCTTTGCAAATGTTTGTCCTGCTTTTAGGCAAATAGGGGAGGGCAGAGAGCTTTTCTTGTATCTGCTTCTTCTCAGTTGCCTTCAGCTTAAAATAATCCCTCTGCCAAGGGACATATCTGGGGTGGGAGAGGTGAGCACAGATTGTGCTACTCCAGCACAAACAGAAAAACGATCGCACATGACTCTGGTCCGTGGGACTGTGGGTCTGGCCGCCGCTGGGCTTCTGATACGGTGGCTGCTTAGGTCAGAGGCAGTCCCCACTGGAAACCACAGCCTCAGGAACAAGAGACTAGAAACGGGGGAGCTCACGGGGTGTTCCCAACTAGAGAGGATGCCGGATCACTCAGAGCCGATGCACAGACTAAAAGACACACATTTGAATGGACATTTTCAAACCCTTGTCAACAGGACACATCGAGTGTTTAGGTTTTGTTTTTGTGTTTTTTTTTTTTAAAGACGTTATTTATTTATTTGACAGAGAGAGACACAAGCAGGGGGAGGGGAGAGGGAGAAGTAGGCTTCCCGCGGAGCAGGGAGCCTGATGTGGGGCTGGATTCCAGGACCCTGAGATCATGACCTGAGCCAAAGGCAGACGCTTAACGACTGAGCCACCCACGCACCCTTGGGTTTTGTTTTTAGTTTAGTGTTGTTGTTGTTTTTTTTTACCATGGAGCTATGATGTGTTCTCTCTCAGCTGCCAGACACAGGATCTATTAAACCAAAGAAAGAGCTCAAACGAGAGACAGAGTGAATTATTAAATTCTCTTCTGGCCCGTGGCCCCCTCCGTCAGCCCTGAACACCAGGCCAGGTATTTACTTTCAGGGATCAATGGAGAGATGTGGGGGTGTCAGCTAAGAGACACAGAGTGGCTTCGCCTCCCTCAAGGGCCTGGACAGCCTCGGCCACCTCACCTCCGGCCCTGCTTCCTCCTGCCCTCCCCACTAACATATTGGGTTTCACAATGTTAAAAATAGCTGCTGAGCTGTGAGGAGAGATCTCAGAGCCTGGATCCAGCTCAGAAAGGCAGGCCTCTCTTGACCAAAAGCCATCCTAGGTGAGCGTAATTCTAGTTCCCTGCTTGCATTTCACACAGCACCAAAATAGTTCCAGATTGTTTGAAATAGTCACAGAGACATGGGACTCCTTTAGCTAAGCGCTGACATCTTTCACCTCCTTAATAATTCATCAGGCTTATTTATCTTCCCGAGGAATCCAATGGCATCGTTCCACATTTTCGCAAAACTCCCTTGAAATTTCCCAAGGATGTCCAGACGCCTCACGGTGAAGGACCAGCCCCAGCTCCACACAGCCTGCCCTGAGCCCCAGAGAGGGGGACATGGCCGGAATGACTCTCCAGAGCTCGGAGGGCTGTCCTGGCCTGGGACCTGATGTGTTCATTCCCCAGAGCCTACAAGAGACTGAAGAAGACAGCAGATCAGAAAGAAATGTCAGTGAGTTTGAGTATCCACAGGACCCGGAAACTCCTAATCTCCCACCTCTGCTTCCCATGGCCCTTTGGGGCTCTCAGGTATGTCTGCATTCCCGGGAAGGGGGGCTCCTACCCCGTAAATTTTAGCCCCACTTTGGTGACCCTGAACGAGATCACCTGCAGCGCTGTAGAGTTAAGAGGTTGTGTTTTGGTTCATTCTTTTCTTTCCCAGAGGAATCCCTTCACCCTCACCTGCATCACCTGTCTTTACCTGCCTCCTTGGCCCCGTGACACCTGTTACCGAGTGCATTCTAAGTGCCCAACACTCTGCCGCTGAGGGATTAGCATTTCTGTTTGTTGAGAAGACCGAGGCTCAGAGGGGCTCAGGTCCCCCAGCTAGTGCACAGGAGACCTGAGATGGAAGACATTCCTTTTTCTTTTCTTTTCTTTTATTTTATTATGTTAGTCACCATACATTACATCATTAGTTTTTGATGTAGTGTTCCATGATTCATTGTTTGTGTATAACACCCAGTGCTCCATTCAATACGTGCCCTCCTTAATACCCATCACCGGGCTGACCCATCCCCCCACCCCCTCCCCTCTAAAACCCTCAGTTTGTTTCTCAGAGTCCATAGTCTCTCATGGTTCGTCTCACCCTCCGATTCCCCAACTTCATTTTTCCCTTCCTACTATTTTTTTTTAAGCATGTAATGTATTATTTGTTTCAGAGGTACAGGTCTGTGATTCATCAGTCTTACACAATTCACAGCGCTCACCATAGCACATATCCTCCCCAATGTCTATCACCCAGCCACCCCATCCCTCCCACCCCCCACCACTTCAACAACCCTCAGTTTGTTTTCTGAGATTAAGAATTCCTCATGTCAGTGAGATCATATGATACTGTCTTTCTCTGATTGACTTATTTTGCTTAGCGTAATACACTCTAGTTCCATCCACATTGTTGCAAATGGCAAGATTTCGGGTTTTTTGATGGCTGCATAATATTCCATTGTATATATATACCACATCTTCTTTAACCATTCATCTGTTGATGGACATCTAGGCTCTTTCCATAGTTTGGCTATTATGGACATTGCTGCTATAAACATTGGGGTGCACGTACCCCCTCGGATCACTACATTTGTATCTTTGGGGTAAATGCCCAGGAGTGCAATTGCTGGGTCGTAGGGTAGCTCTATTTTCAACTTTTTGAGGAACCTCCATACTGTTTTCCAGAGTGGTTGCACCAGCTTGCATTCCCACCAAGAGTGTAGGAGGGTCGCCCTTTCTCCACATACCCGCCAACGTGTGTCGTTTCCTGACTTGTTAATTTTAGCCATTCTGACTGGTGTGAGGTGGTATCTCATTGAGATTTTGATTTGTATTTCCCTGATGCCGAGTGATGTTGAGCACTTTTTCATGTGTCTGTTGGCTATTTGGATGTCTTGTTTGGAAAAATGTTCATGTCTTCTGCCCATTTCTTGACTGGATTATTTGTTGTTTGGTGTTGAGTTTGATAAATTCTTTATAGATTTTAGCCCTTTATCTGATATGTCATTTACAAATATCTTCTCCCATTCTGTCGGTTGTCTTTTGGTTTTGTTGACTGTTTTCTTTGCTGTGCAAAAGCTTTTTATCTTGATGAAGTCCCAATAGTTCATTTTTGCCCTTGCTTCCCTTGCCTTCGGCGATGTTTCTAGGAAGAAGTTGCTGCGGCTGAGGTCAAAGAGGTTGCTGCCTGTGTTCTCAAGGATTTTGATGGATTCCTGTCCCACATTTAGGTCTTTCATCCATTTGAGTCTATTTTTGTGTGTGGTGTAAGGAAATGGTCCAGTTTCATTCTTCTGCATGTGGCTGTCCAATTTTCCCAACACCATTTGTTGAAGAGACTGTCTTTTTTCTATTGGACATTCTTTCCTGCTTTGTTAAAGATTAGTTGACCATAGAGTTGAGGGTCCATTTCTGGGTTCTCTATTCTGTTCCATTGATCTATGTGTCTGTTTTTTGTGCCAGTACCATACTGTCTTGATTACAGCTTTGTAATAGAGCTTGAAGTCTGGAATTGTGATGCCACCAGGTTTGCTTTTCTTTTTCAACATTCCTCTGGCTATTCGGGGTCTTTTCTGCTTCCATAGAAATTTTAGGATTATTTTTTCCATTTCTTTGAAAAAAATGGATGGTATTTTGATAGGGATTGCATTAAATGTGTAGATTGCTCTAGTTAGCATTGACGTCTTCACAATATTAGTTCTTCCAATCCATGAGCATGGAACGTTTTTCCATTTCTTTGTGTCTTCCTCAATTTCTTTCATGAGTATTTTATAGTTTTCTGAGTACAGATTCTTTGCCTCTTTGGTTAGATTTATTCCTAGGTATTTTATGGTTTTTGGTGCAATTGTAAATGGGATTGACTCCTTAATTTCTCTTTCTTCTGTCTTGTTGTTGGTTTATAGAAATGCAACTGATTTCTGTGCATTGATTTTATATCCTGCCACTTTACGGAATTCCTGTATGAATTCTAGCAGTTTTGGGGTGGAGTCTTTTAGATTTTCCACATGAAGTATCATATCATCTGCAAAGAGTGAGAGTTTGACCTCTTCTTTGCTGATTCAGATGCCTTTTATTTCTTTTTGTTGTCTGATTGCTGTGGCTAGGACTTCTAGTACTATGTTGAATAGCAGTGGTGATATTGGACATCCCTGCTGTGTTCCAGACCTTAGGGGGAAAGCTTTGTTTTTCCCCATTAAGAATGATATTCGCTGTGGGTTTTTCATAGATGGTTTTTATGATTTTGAGGTATGTACCCTCTATCCCTACACTCTGAAGAGTTTTGATCAAGAAAGAATGCTGTACTTTGTCGAATGCTTTTTCTGCATCTATTGAGAGGATCATATGGTTCTTGTTCTTTCTTTTATTAACGTACTGTATCACATTGATTGATTTGCAGATATTGAACCAACCTTGCAGCCCAGGAATAAATCCCACTTGGTCGTGGTGAATAATCCTTTTAATGTACTGTTGGATCCTATTGGCTAGGATTTTGGTGAGAATTTTTGCATCCATGTTCATCAGGGCTATTGGTCTGTAATTCTCCTTTTTGATGGGGTCTTTGTCTGATTTTGGGATCAAGGTAATGCTGGCTTCATAAAATGAGTTTGGAAGTTTTCCTTCCATTTCTATTTCTTGGAAGAGTTTCAGAAGAATAGGTATTACTTCTTCTTTAAATGTTTGGTAGAATTCCCCTAGGAAGCAATCTGGCCCTGGGTTCTTATTTGTTGGGAGATTTTTGATGACTGCTTCAATTTCCTTAGTGGTTATAGGTCTGTTCAGGTTTTCTATTTCTTCCTGGTTCACTCTTGGTAGTTTATACATCTCTAGGAATGCATCCATTTCTTCCAGATTATCTAATTTGCTGGCATATAGTTGCTCATAATATTTTCTTATAATTGTTTGTATTTCTTTGGTGTTGGTTGTGATCTCTCCTCTTTCATTTGTGATTTTATTTATTTGGGTCATTTCTCTTTTCTTTTTGATAAGTCTGGCCAGGGGTTTATCAATCTTATTAATTCTTTCAAAGAACCAGCTCCTAGTTTTGTTGATCTGTTCTACTGTTCTTTTGGTTTTTATTTCATTGATTTCTGCTCTGATCTTTATTATTTTTCTTCTCCTGCTGAGTTTAGGCTTTATTTGCTGTTCTTTTTCCAGCTCCTTTAGGTGTAGGGTTAGGTTTGTATTTGAGACCTTTCTTGTCTCTTGAGAAAGGCTTGTATTGCTATATACTTTCCTCTTAGGACTGCCTTTGCTGCATCCCAAAGATTTTGAACAGTTGTGTTTTCATTTTCATTTGTTTCCATTAATTTTTTTAATTCTTTAATATCCTGGTTGACCCATTCATTCTTTAGTAGGATGCTCTTTAGCCTCCATGTATTTGAGTCCTTTCTGACTTTCCTCTTGTGATTGAGTTCTAGTTTCAAAGCATTATGGTCTGAAAATATGCAGGAAATGATCCCAATCTTTTGGTACGGTTGAGACCTGATTTGTGACTTAGGATGTGATCTATTCTGGAGAATATTCCATGGGCACTAGAGAAGAATGTGTATTCTGTTGTTTTGGGATGGAATGTTCTGAATATATATGTGAAGTCCATTTGGTCCAGTGTGTCATTTAAAGTCTTTATTTCCTTGTTGATCTTTTGCTTAGATGATCTGTCCATTTCAGTGAGGGGGGTGTTAAAGTCCCCTACTATTATTGTATTGTTGTCGATGTGTTTCTTTGATTTTGTTATTAATTGGCTTATATAATTGGCTGCTCCCATGTTAGGGGCATAGATATTTACAATTGTTAGGTCTTCTTGTTGGATAGACCCTTTAAGTATGATATAGTGTCCTTCCTCATCTCTTATTATAGCCTTTGGTTTAAAATCTAATTTGTCTGATATAAGGATTGCCACCCCAGCTTTCTTTTGGTGTCCATTAGCATGGTAAATCGTTTTCCACCCCCTCACTTTCAATCTGGAGGTGTCTTTGTGTCTAAAATGAGTCTCTTGCAGCCAGCGTATCAATGGGTCTTGTTTTTTTTATCCAATCTGATACCCTGTGTCTTTTGATTGGGGCATTTAGCCCATTTACACTCAGGGTAACTATTGAAAGATATGAATTTAGTGCCATTGTATTGCCTGTAAGGTGACTGTTACTGTATATTGTCTGTGTTCCTTTCGGTTTATGTTACTTTAAGGCTCTCTCTTTGCTTAGAGGACCCCTTTCAATATTTCTTGTAGGCCTGGTTTCGTGTTTGCAAATTCTTTTAGTTTTTGTTTGTCCTGGAAGCTTTTTATCTCTCCTTCTATTTTCTTTCTTTTTTTTTTTTTTTTTTTCTCCTTCTATTTTCAATGAGAGCCCAGCTGGATATAGTATTCTTGGCTGCATATTTTTTTCATTTAGTGCTCTAAATGTATCATGCCAGTCCTTTCTGGCCTGCCAGGTCTCTATGGATAGGTCTGTTGCCAATCTAATGTTTCTACCATTGTAGGTTACAGACCTCTTGTCCTGAGCTGCTTTCAGGATTTTCTCTTTGTCTCAGAGACTTGTAAGTTT